ATTTTAGACCAGAATCCTGACCAACGTCAAACCCTATAGCGCACCACCTTTTTCACGCATTCCCCCCATCCCCCATCCCCATCTCCATTAATCCATAACTAAGGTAACAAGGTACCTCTTGCCCCGGCCACACCTCCACCTCGGCCTGTCAGTCAAAACTCTGAACTCAGGCCTATCCCTCATCAGTCCTCAGTTCCCTCAGTTTCAATCTTTTTCTTTCTCTGGTCCACAGACGAGCCTGAGTTTTCGCGCTTATTAGCTGAGCTTGTACCAGCCGGTATATACAAGGCCGGCCGCACCTCTCGTCCAGTCCATGCACCCGAAAGACCTACTGGACCTTCCGAATACCAGACAATAATAACCTTACCCTCCTCTGCCTGGCAACTTTGCCGTTTTCCCTCGCTTGCTGGCTTTCTTTTTTTTTTTTTCCCCACAGCTCGTTCCGTTTGTCGAGCGAGCATATACATCCTCGAAACATCTGATCTCGTCGATAAGGTAGCTTGTTCCCTACCTGCCAGAGCTCTACTCACCTCCCCCACCATCCCACCGTCGCTTCCCGCCCACTCACCGTACGGTACACACACGTTCAAGCTGTCTTTGCAACGACCCACGATATATCTCACAACACGGTGCGCTTGACCGAGATAAAAGAGCGCTCCACCAAAGAGCTGTTGCCCGCAGTCGCTACCACCGGTGCAGTGTCTCCTCGTCGCAGACATGTTTCGACAAAGGTGAGTCGTCGAAGCCCTGTTCGAAAAAATAAAATAAAAAGATCGGACTGCCCAAAGGAGGTCCGCGCAACTCGCGCTCGACTATGACCTCGGCCCGTGAACTTTTGCTGACACGAGAATTTCCACTCATTAGGACGAGCTCGCAGAAGCCTGGGGATGATCTGCTGGCCAATTTTAGACAACAGTTCCCTGAGGTTGCCGCTGTCACTTCATCAGCCGGTGCAGCCCAGCCAGCCAGCACCGCCACCGCTAGCCACCCCGCAGTTGCTGTTTCGGCGCAAGAAACGTATGTTCTTTTTCTCCTGTTAACCCACGTGTGTGTGTGTGTGTGTGTGTGTGTGTATGAAGAAGTCTACCAAAAAGCCAAACTCGGCGCGGGGTCAACGTCTGATTCCAGACAGTCAGGGCTTGGCGCCTCACCGTTAGCAACCGTTTGACTAACACGGCCGTGGCAGATCTCAAACTCTAAGCCATGAGGCTTTTCGCGACCAGGACCCGACTCCTCGGGCAGCAGCGGCCAACGAGCCGTGGAGATTCACGCCGTCCTTGCTAGACCCGGGCTCGTTTTCTTTTGCCAACTTTCCCCACCAAACCGGCGGGTACTATACCCCTACCCCAGGAGGCACGAATACACTTTACCATCCTACCGCTGGCGACCTCCACACACCCACCCTCGGTCTGGGGATTGGGGCTTGGGACACCGTTGTCCCTGCCGACCTCAGATGGAGCTATTCACTCCGGGACTACCGCAATGGACGTGGGTGACTTTCACCATGGATTTGGCCATCCTCAGCAGTTTCATCAGTTCCACCCTTTCATGCAGCATCAGCCTCCGCAACCGTCGTTTGCCCCATCATCGATATTCCGCCAGGATACCGGGTACGAGACCATGGACCAAGATGACTCTCCCATGAATTCCGACCCTGCAGATGAGCATATGGTGTCTATCGACAGCAAATTCCACGGCCAGTCTCCCATGGTTGCCTTCCAGACAAGACAGTTTGGAATGTCCATGTCGGTTCCTCTCCCGGCGTCTGCGGAAAAGTTCCGCTTCCACACTGCTTTGAATGCCCCAACAGCCATGATCAAGCATGCCGACGAGATTCCCGTGACATATCTCAACAAGGGTCAGGCCTATTCGCTCTCAATTGTCGATACCAACCCGCCGATGCCCATGGCGCCTGGTACCCGTTTCCGCACCTTTGTCAGAATCTCCTTTGAGGATGAGCAGCAGAGACAAAAGCCGGGCGTGTGCTGGAGCTTGTGGAAAGAGGGACGCGGAACTAACGAGGCCCATCAGAGAGGAGGAAAGCTGCAGGCTGTCGAGTACGTTGAGGCTGGACAGCCTTCCGAAGGCGACGATAAACGGGCCCGTATCGAGCTGGAGACTGCTTCATTTGACGGCTTCTCCGTGGTTTGGACTCCGGGCATCAACGGCGCCGTCGAGTGCAACATTGCTGTCCGCTTCAACTTCCTCTCCACCGACTTTAGCCATTCCAAGGGCGTCAAGGGCATTCCTGTGAGGCTCTGTGCCAAGACACACATCCTCCCATCGGATCCTTCCCAGTCACCACCGCCTTCGTCCCCTGAGGCTGAGATCTGCTACTGCAAAGTCAAGCTGTTCCGTGACCACGGAGCGGAGCGCAAACTCTCCAATGATGTTGCGCACGTCAGGAAAACCATCGATAAGCTCAAGCAGCAGATCGCCCAGGCCGAGAGTGGGATGAAGGACTTTGGCAAGCGCAAGAGACCCAGCGCAGCGCAGTCCAAGAGCAGCTCGGCAGTCCAGAGACCCGGCAAGGTGCAGAAGCACAAGCGTACCTGGTCCATGTCCTCAGCCAGCTCTGCTGGAGGCGGTGGCAGACCGAATCTTGAGGAAGATTTGCACTTCAAGCTACAGACTCTCCAGGACATGTTTACCAGCACCCGTCCTGTGAGTGTCCTGTACCTTCGGGGTGACGATATTGACGACCCTGATCTTCATCCGGTGTCGCTTCCCGGAGAGCCCGTCGATCTCACCAGGGTGGACACGGACCCGGCCGCTTGGAGAAGCGAACGTAGCTCCATGGCTGGATCTTCGCTGGTCTCGCCATCACCGAGCTCACTTTCTCTTCATTCACAGGCCTCTGTAGCCGGTAAGCCGAACTGGCAAGACTATCAGATTGGTTCCGATGGTTCCGCACAGGGTGGCAACCAGCCCACCAAGGTCAGGAAGGTGGACGAAGCTGGTCACCTCACGGGGTGGATTGAGGCCTTGGGCGTTGACTCTTCTTACCGACCACCACAGGAGCGCCCTCCCAAACCTGTCGCGTGTTTCTATGTGGCGCGACGAAACTTCTCGGAGCCCTCTGGCCAGGAACTGCACCGTGCCGTCTACTTGATGCAAAGGACGCTCTCCGATTTTGTCGGAAGACTCTCTGTGAAGTACAACTTTGACGTTGGTAGGGTGATCCGAACAGTACACGTCTTGCCTCGTGGCATCGAAGTCGAGATGGACGACGACGTCATCCGCGAAATTCCCGAGGGCCAGGACATGACACTGGAGGTCATCGAGACGGGCGGCTGTGGTGTCAAGCGCGAATGGGAAATGGCGGTCGACGCCCCTGGGGAGTCTGACATGCCTTCCCCATCCAACAACACGGCGCCACAGAGGGGTTATGAGCTTCGATTGCGGTATTAAGCGCCATTTTTGCCTACGACACACACACGCTTACGGTAACGAGACACGCAAGGAGAGCAATATGGATTTGGCTGTTTTAACGAGGCAACAAGAAACAAACATCGAATTGGGCTGGTTCTAGAAGGCGGGGGAGTTGTAGGTTCGCGGCTTTTTTTTCGAACCGGGCACAATCTGTTTTTTGAACATCAAAATTGCAGGCATGATATGGGGAAGGGGAAAGATGGGAACCATCGTGCTTTGCTTTGGCGTTTGTGAAACGAGTTTTGTTTTCCTTCTGAGATACCAAGTCCCTCGATGGGGCCAACTTTTTTTGGTTTTTTTGTGTTTTTTTCTTCTTGTGTATTTGATTGGAGGAGATATATAGGGGCCCGAGATCAGTGGCCATCTGTTATTTCTTTTTCTTTTTTGTGGGTTTTAGTTTGGGATTTTGTTGAGTGGTTTAAACTTCTTGGGGTGAGTGATGGATGTGGTGTGTCACAATACATGCCATATTTGAGTATTTTTCACTTGCGGCTATAGTATTTACCTACTTTGTGTACCACATGTACTGGTCTTCT